CAGGCAACCACTCCTAACTGAAGGAGACTCGCTTGGTGCATGCTCTAAATGGGGATGCTCCCAGGGTAGGTGGAGGGCTGCCTCCATAAGGTGCTTTAGTCTGACCTCCCTGTACTTCTTAATTCTGGGCTTAAAGTCCCTGCACATTTGGCACCAGTCTCCGATGTGTGGCACCTGAAGTGAGAGTCACTGCCTGGCACTGATTTCTTGCATGCATCACAAGGCCTGAAGCCCAGAGACCGAGGCATGCCTCAACACTGGGCACTAATACCCCTGTGGTGGGAACCGAAGAACATACTAATAAGTATCCCAGGACAAGGAAACTTAATAGCAAAAAATTCTGTTAAAGCAAACTATTAAACAAGTGCGCACTATATACAAGACTAAGAAAGGGAAACACTTGCAGCAACAAGATAAAGTGCTCCGACAACCGTCACAGCACTAAGAAGGAACTGAGGGAGGTCAGGGACAGCTTTGCCTTTACAGCTTCGCACAGCAGCATGAGACAGCAGAAGGTGCATGCACCACCCCAACAGGTACCACTAAGGGAAAAGTCCCAGATGCTAATGCACTGAGCGCCCACATACCTGAAGTGGAATGGACATATGCAATCACTTGAAACAGAATCGAGTAGTTATTCAGTACCTGTGAGAAAGTGCTGTCATGACAAGATCCTCTTATGCCAACATTTCCCTACCTTTTTGTTATAATTAGGGTCCTACCAAATTCACAGTCTATTCTCATTAATTTCACAGCCAGAGGGTTTTAAAATTGGTCAATTTCATGATTTCAGATGTTTACATCTGAAATTTCAGGGTGTTATAACGGTGGGGGTCTTGGCCCAAAATGGTATCGTAGGGGGGTTGCAAAATTGCTGTGCCGGGGGAGGGGGAAGGGTACCAAGAGTGACACCCTCACTTCTGTGCTGCCTAGGCAGCAGCCTTCGAGCTTCCTGCAGTTAGAGGAGGTTCTCGGAGGTGGAGAGGCTCTCCCGCATGCTGCTAGGAGCACCCCAGCAGGGGCTCCTAGCTGCCAGTCCAGGCCAGTGACAGATTAAGGCAGGGTCCCCCTGTCAATTTGAGCCCCCCAACCCGGAAAAATGGGTGCCCCAGCCCCAGAAGAAGCTCCAGAAGCCCCGATCGGGTCACCCTGAGCCCCAGCAGGAGCCCTGGGGGACGGAAATCCCGAGCCTGGGCTGCCCTGGCTGCAGCCAGCAGAAGTGGAAGTCCTCAGCCCCAGGAACCACTGGGGGGGGAAGATGCCCCGAGCTGTGGCAGGAATCGTGAGATGGGGGCAGAAGCCCAGACCCCAGGCTGCCCCAGCTACAACCGCCGAGAGCAGAAGCCTCCAGCCCGGGAGGACCCACTGGGGGAGGAAGCCCCAAGCTTGGCGCCCAGAACTGGGGCGGAGGGAGAAGAGACAAGCCAGGAGCCCATCTCCCGGGCTGCTGCAGCACAGAAGTGAGGGTGTACCACCCTCATTTCTGCGCTGCCTCTGGAGGTGGGTCTTATCTCTCCACCAAGAGCAGCCATGCAGGGGAAGCTCAGCATGTCCAGACTAGCAGCTAGGAGCCCCAGGCTCCCAGCAGCAGGGGAGATCAGATTTCATAGAGAAGGGCTGATTCCACAGCCGTGAAATTGGTAGGGCCCTAGTTATAATGCAAAGCTGGTTGCACTTTTTGACCAAAGGCCAAAATGCCTGACAGGTACATCCAAAATCACTCTCCAACAGAAAGATGGAGACACTGACAAAAAACCCTGCAGATATTGAAAACAAGGGAGGCACGACAATTATCAAATTCCTCAAGATAGAGACATTCTAGCCTCCAATTCCTGCTCCTAGCAGGACAGTTCCTATGCTGCATGTCTTCATTAGACTGAGTACGTATACTTAGTCAATCATACTGAACAGGCTCTTCACAAAACTCCCTATCATAGGATGTACAAGCAGAAACCTAGCCAGTGGCAGATAGAAGAGAAAATGCAAATGCCAGTCTGAAGGTAGGAATCCAGCCTGCCTAGAGAGCATGGTACAGTGGGAATGGTCAATCTTTGCTTGCTTTATGAGCTTTATGCTTTAACAATTTGCCAAGGACAGTAAGCAAAATCTACAGAGCTAGGAAAAAAGCACCCAACTCCAACAGAAAACTACTGCTCAAAAGACTGCTTTCTGTACCTGATGCAGTTTCATTGAAGTTTCCCATTGTAGTTTTTTCGTTTTCATCTCCCCACCTCAGTTAGCTAAAACTAGTTAGGCACTGACTATCTAGCCTTACTACCTGGAACAGCATCCAATATGGAGTCAGATCAGACATGCCCTATAGAGTAATTTCTGTCCACAGGTAGAAGATATATTAAAGAACACATGAGAAATACGCTCAATTATTTATCTGGGAGGCCGGTCAGCTGACAAAACTATTTTTAGTGATACCACCAGTTTCTAAAGAAGTTGATAAAACAAGCAGGAGCCACATCATACCTAGATTGAAAATATTTTGAGCCCAGAAGCTAGGATCACAGTGAAACTGGACAGTGGTGTTAGTCACTGGTGAAGCATCACACCTTGCTCGAAGGAGATACCGTAGACGATATGTAATCTAGAACAGGAAAACACCTTGTACAAAACACATTTTTTTCTTCTAGGAAAAAACCCTGGTTAACTTGTACTAATTTTCCCACAAGACAGTAACAGGGTTTAATGTTTATTATCTGAGCAAAATGCCTTGAATTGGAGTGAAAAGAACATAAGTTTGTGCAACCAACTAAAAGCATGGATTTTCAGCTTCCCACTCTCCCCTTAACCCTAACCCCCCCCCCACAAAAAGTAATTTTCAACACTCATTAACTATAGTATAAAAGAAATGATGTTTTTCTAACTGTAGCGATACGTAGTCATCCCTAGATGACAACGTAATGACCCAATATATTTGCAAATAAATTTTGTTCTTTATGTGATCATTCCTTGTCTGAAAATTATCTGTTCTCACTTGTGTCAGATCTTACTATTCTCATTAGAAAGGATGTTATCTCAGAATAAAATTTTCTATCCTCCCTCCCTCCAATAAAGAAATGAATTAATATATAAGAATTCTCTGAAATGTTCTAATAGCTAAGAGCTTTTCTAAGCCCTTAGTTTCAAGGATTAGATTATGTTTACAATCGGAGAGAAAATATTATAAGAGTAGAATACTTCAGGTCAGACAATTAAAAATTCAGGTTTCATTAGGAAGGAAAAATGTTGGGGGAAAAGGCCCAGGGAAACACAAGCAAGGGCTGACACATTAATCCAAGTACTAATTATACCATAATACAGACATAATTTCAGACAGGAAAAAGCTAGCCAACTCAACACACTTATTCCTTTTGGATTCCTCCTAATCTCAATTCCTCTGAAAACTTTTCTTTCCCCCACCCCCCAAAAAAAATTCTACTGAAGACGCCTCTTAATCTCATACTATTTGGTTAAATTAACTTCCCTACTTGTATTGACATGGATTACCTACTACATAAATATTTTCATAGAGTTCCTTATTTACTTGTAGTTTTCTAAACTTTAGGTAGGTCAGTTCTAGAATACCTAACCAGTGTGAAAATGCATGACAAAATATATTTTTTAAAAGGGGATGTGGGAATGTTCAAAGCTGTAATCACTACCAATTTGAATGCAGGCAAAGCAGGATTCCTGTGGACACCAGCAGTAGCTGGGGTACTAACGTCACAGGATTGCTTCAATTTTAGTTCATGTTCACATGAGAGTTTTTAAAACTGTCTATGGCATACCTGGCTCTACATATGGTTTTTATCTATTCATTACAAGACTAAAACTGTTAGCTACTACAATTATTCACAGTAGCTAACAGTGTGTTGGTCATGCCAGAAGTCTAGGTTGGCACACAGATGTCTTTCTGCAACCTGCTCAGTCCATTCCCTTTTCTGCAGTGTGGATACGGCTTCCTAGCAGTAATCTGTGTAATGTAGTTGGCTAGGTTATACTCCTTCCCAGCTCTATGTGGTAGGATACCCCACAGTGCACAGCCTCACATGTTGCTCTGTACAGGTGTATGCCCTCTGGAGCAGATTTCTAAGGGCACAGAACAGCCAGGCATCCAACTTTCAAATGTCTTTGCCTTTGGCAGGAGCTAGGCACTTAACTCCCTTTGTGCTTTGAAAGTCTCCCTTGGTGTCTTGCTGATAGTTTGCATGATGGGATAGTTGCCCAGAATGCACTGATACAATCATGGTTAGGAAGCCTGGTAGGTGTGGATGAGCAAACAATTGTGACAGCAAAAAAGACTGTGTGGATATAACACAATTCCATTTATCTGCAATTGTGTAAATGCCCATATCTCTAATCTTTTTTAAAAATCACAATTGTATGTGTAATGTAGCAGGACCTTTGTATGTTTAGGCCTTGGTTTCTGTTTTAAAATGAAAAAGTTTCGCTTCAGTATGTATCAACCTATAGCATCACTACTTCAGTCCATCAGGTACTTAATGCATACTTGCAAGTCTGAAGACAAGGTCTTAGAACCTTTCAATGGAAGGTTATACTGACTGTGGAGGAGCCAACATGTTAATTTTACATTAAAAAGCTATATCTACATTATCCATTATGTTTGGATCACCTCATCCTTAAGCTGAAAAAGTTGTGCTAATAGTATGAGCATGTATACACACAGACATGCTTCCTCTTAAAAAGGTTAACAGTAGTGATTCATACACTTCCACAGAAGTGGGACAATCCCTATCTCAGTAGACAACTTGCAACAATTAAAATTTTCAGGAATATCTAGGAGGGATCAGAAGTCAAAGTTTTAACATCCTCCTCAACTTGTGCTGTTGTAGGGGGGGAAAAAATGTATATTACACACTTGTGCTGCAATATACTGAAGTAATCAACAAGATTAATTCCTTGACTTTACTTAAGACGCAGAAAATTCACTTGTTTGACTTAGCTATGGCCCCTTAGCAACTAAGGAATACTGTCTTTCCTAGCCTTACCAGGCGTTTGCTGTACAATAATGCTGTGCTGCTGCCACTGGAAACTGCCCACTTGGAAAAATTCATGACATGTTCCAGCTGTTTAGAAAGACTTGCTACTTCCTGTTGTTGCTGCAGAAGCTTAATCCGATGGTCTTTTGACAGACTCTGAAAGGGTAAAGCACTTCCAGTGAAATTTTCAATTTACCGCAGAAATGTATTAGCTCTCACTTGCTAATCCATAAACATGATAATCCTCAAAAATATCAAATAGTTTCACCTCATTTTTCAGAAGAGATTTAAAGAGAGATTATATACTCTGAAAAGTGACTAAAATTGGTACACTCTTACTCAAGAGATCAGCCCACTGTGTATTCAGATTCCCATCTTCTTTCTTTAGTGACAGAAAGAAGTTTCTATGGGTTTTTACTCTATGGTAGTGTTTAGATAGGTTTCCCTCACAGACTGTCCTATCCTACTTGTTATTACAATGAAGTTGGAAAGCTGAATTTGTGGCATCTCAACCTCAGTTTCCTGCATCATACATAGATCTGTGACTTCACTGCACAGCCCAGCTTCTTTTGCTTGATTATGAGGGAGGGCAGCCCTGATTCATGAAAACTAAATGCAAACAGAAATTCAAAGTTACTGGCAAAGTAAACTGCTATTGTATGAAATATTTCTCTGCTTGGCCCTATTTGAAGTTTCCTCATTAAGGGGTACCATCATGTAACTCCTGCTGAAAGACAGTTTTTGCGGTGTTTGAATTTTGATGGATTATCATTTAAAGCCCCTGTAAAAGCACTTGCACGATGACTGTTACTTATAATCTTAGAAGTGAATTTACCTCTAACTGATGCAGCAAAGCTTTCCCCTTTTTGTTTATTTCTACCATCAGTGTAAATATGGCAACTTTAATGTCCTGTTCCACCTGCTTTTGATTCTGATTCGCTTCAAGGATTCTGTAAGTAAAGAATAAATATTTAGAATTGTTTAGCCCAGTGTCCTTAAGAAACTGCCACCAAAGCTCATCCTGACTCAACAAATGAAATGACTTATTTGTTGCACAGAATGCAGTGGATTCCCGCTCACATGCATCCAGTAGTATATATGGGATCAGATGTTGCCATTAGCCAGGAAAATTATCAGGCTGAGTTAGTTTAAAAAAAAATAAAACACAGATTTAGAAATGCATCTGACCTTGGTGTAAGTCTGAGAAATTCTAATTATATGAACTAGAAAAGTAGGACACTTATATAAGCAAGGGAATTTTATTGATTAAAAATGAATGGATGAAATAGTCTTGATTTTAATATTCTCCTAAGCCTTTCTGGCAGGGAATACAAAAGTCTCCATATGTCACAGGAATTCAGGATCTCATTTTTTCCCCCAATACAGAAAGTTTCTCCAGAAAGAAGATATCCAGCAATGTAGCAGCCTTTGCATTTGTGTGTGTTTTTAATGCATGGCTTGAAACAATACACTTGCCAATGGTGAATTGTATTCCTGCTTGAGCACTGCTTGCAGCCCTATCTAGTGATGTGAATATTGCTACTACACTGCTGACACAATCAATATGCTGCTCATTCTACCCTCTCTTTGGTGGGGTGAATGAGAGAGAGCGGGGAACGCTTTTCACTACCTTATGCATGTGTATCAGGCAGTGCTGAATACCTGGTACAGGTGCTTAAAAACACCAGGTAGAAGAAGTTAGGAAGGAGAGAAAGACACTTGGATTCCATGTGGGAGGAGAAGAGTATTACTTTTCTCCTGCCATCCAGGAGCAAGGGGAGGGAGGGAGGGAGGGAGATTGTGGTTTGCATCCAGCATCCAAGATGTGGTGAAAGAGAAGGAGGAGAGAACAAGCATAACAGTAAAACTTCTCCATCTCCCAAAGCTAAAACTAGGGGGAAGACTGGACTTAGATTCCCAGGGTACTGCATCTGAATAGTGCTGTGGAGGTACTTGCTAGGACCCACTTTGATATGTACTGTTGCAACCGTGGTTACGTCTTTGGCTTGCAAGTGTCAGGTATGAACCCTGATCATATTGTTATTCCACAAATGATCTTCAAGTAAATCTGTCACATGCATTTATTTACAAAAACCTAAGCCATAACATCTCATTTATAGGAGAGATACATATCGTGAAAAACTAAAAATGGGGGTGGGCAGGGACGAGATACCGCAATTGCCTTCTAAAAATCTCCTAGCAGCCTGCTTGGCTGAGCTTGCCCGCCTGTTGTCCTGGAAGTTTACAGGCTAAAGAGAATAGTTATGTAACCAACATCAAGTTTAAGTTAACAAATACCACAAGGATTACCACACCCAACTGAAAACGTAAGAATTTCATATTTCACTACTGAAAACATTTTGGAAATTATTTCCTTTTGGAAGTATAAAACAAACAATGCAGAGATTATGTAAAAAATCCATTTAGGAATACTTTAATTTGAAAGCCTTGGTGAGTTAGGTAATATTCTTATGTTCAGTGTATGTCAATATTCTTTAGTAACAGGATACATACCTGTTTTGGATCTGCTTCTCTGTATATTTTATATACTTAGTCTTCTCCATTAGCTTGGTGATTAGTGTATCAATGATCACTTTCTGGTTCTGAAAAGCTTCTTCTATAAACTGATACCTGCAATAATCAGTGACTATTTATTTAAACATGAGAACGAGGTTTGAACTACACTTACTAAAAAACAGACTGCACTCCAACAGAATCATCACTCCAGTTAAAAACACTGCTAAAAGACTGAGTTTAACACCAAGGAAGCCCATAAAAGGCAAATATGCCTGATTTTTAAAGTATTTTTCTTGTGTAATTATTTTCTTCATAGAAATGAAGAGTATTAGTTTTTGAGAGAGCCATTAAAGTGACATTTTAGATTTCCTCTAATAAATGCTCTTCAGAGAGAAATGAACATTTCCCCTTTCTGAAAGGTTTGGTAAGGTCCTCTTAAACAACCATCCTGTTCAACGGCAAACTGAGAGTTATGTTTGACCATATAGTTACATAATATAGCCCCGGTGCTTTTAAGTGTTCTCAGTTTGAAGAACTACAAAGCAAAGATTTCCATCTATAGTAGAACCTCAGAGTTATGAGCACCAGGGTTACAAACTGACCAGTCAACCACACACCTCATTTGCCGCCAGAAGTATACAATCAGGCAGCAGCAGAGACAAAAAAAAAAAGCAAGTACAGTACTGTGTTAAGCGTAAACTACTAAAAAAATACAGAGAAAGCAGCATTTTTCTTCTGCACAGTAAAGTTTCAAAGTTGCATTAAGTCAATGTTCAGTTGTAAACGTTTGAAAGAACAGCCATAACATTTTGTTCAGAGTTACGAACCACCACCATTCCCGAGGTTTTCGTAAATCTGAGATTCTACTGCAATTAAACTGCCAATAATGGAAGGCCCACACAGGGTTAGAAGCTGGAAGATCAAGAGATTCTACTTTCAACTTTACCACTGACTTTCTTTAGCAAGACCTTTCAGCAGTGAACTTCAGTTTCTTCATGGGTCTTTTTATTAAAAAATAATTTTGCATTTTAACAGGAGCCCTGCTCAACAATATAACCTAGGCTAATACTGCAACCAATTCAGAATTAGTTCAACATCTTTCATAAGGCATCAGCTACTAGTTGTATAAAAATATGTAATTTACTTTGGTACCTGTGCTCTTTGTGTTCCAGTAACTGGCAATCCCGGCATGTAAGTTTGTCACAGGTCTCGCAATAGAGCTTCAACTGTTCCTTTTTGTGGTAAGGGCAGAAAACAGGCCGCTGACTGTTAACACCAACTGCCTCTGTAGAATAAAGGAGGATTAAAATTTCTATTAGCAAGTTGAAACAATCTTTATTTGCTTGGGTTAGAATGAGAAGTTGGTTAGTTTCCATGTCTCCATTCTGTCTTCTTTGAACTGCAGTCCATTGTTCCATCTTGGAACTGTTGGACTTTTCTACTTTCTTCGAGTCTTGGAGGCAGACAACAGATCTTCTCCTCCTTCACTGCAATAGCACTCCCCTCCAACAGTTGGAGTACAAACATATGAGGTGCTAAAGCGATGACATTTCAAGCCAAACAGTTGAAAATTTATACTTTGGCTTTGTTGTAGCAAGGGTTTTCATGGAAGAATATCCATGAAAGCCTTGGATTCTGTTCATCCAGTGCTGCTGCCTTTGAACACAAAGCATGTCTGCTTTGTCTTGTGACTGGGACCCTTGAGTGGCTACCCTGCAAGTTCTGTCCATGAAGTAGTTGTATCCCTAGTGAACACTTCTATTTCTGGAAGATCTCGATTAGAAGCTTGGAAGATAGTGGCCTTAATCCAGCTGGATGAAGAAAGAGGTGCAGAAGTAAGTACCACCAATAAAGCACTGGGCTTCCCCCACACTATAATTCTATACACGCTGAATTTTGCCATTCTACAAAAGCACTAGCTTCAGGATGAGAGAGGCTTTAAGAACAAAAGAGGACAAGGAAACTGACTCGCTTAAATGGAAGGTTAAATTTCTCTTACAAAATGAAATGGGGAGCTTGCCTTTCCAACCACATTATCTGAAAAAAGTTTAAAGTAAGACTACTTGTTGCAAAGAAACCACAAAATATGCTAATCTTCTGATGGCCAAAAGAAAGACAAACATTTGAGTTAGAAAAAGACAAGAACATTTTCCTGGTAACTTAAAGGGTTATTTAGTATGAGTGTGTAACACTTAATTGAGGCTCCATGGGGGTCCTTGAAGTGATGCTGCTTTCAGAAAATAGGAACGTCATGAGTCCAGTCGAATGCCCCCTTTTGGCCACTCACTGTGTGGTGATCCAGTTGCTGAATCCCTAGGTGTTTTGAGTGTCCAGAGTTTTAACAGCATCTAGGCACTGCCTCTGTCTTGGGGTCTGTAGGCACACTCTCAGGATGTTGTAGACCCCTGTCTTGCAAACTGTGCTGAGACCTCCACAGTCAAACAGCCTACCCCATTACCAATGCTGACTCCTTAGAATCCCTCTTCCCCTGTACCTCTCTTCCAGAATTCCAACCGAAGTGTAGGTAGGTGTAACACTTCACACACAGACAAACTTTGTACAAGATTCTAGACCACCACTGCTCTTTACTTAACAGATAAAACAGAGTACGTAACAAGAAGACAGACATCCTGAACACAACATCCCTTGCTAAACCCTTGGGAGTCCTTTGAGGTCTGAGTTTAGATAAACAAGGTTCCCCCTGCCTATACAGGCTCCTGCAGTAACTTCTCTGCTTGAGCTGGTGAAAATGGTCAAAAGACCCCAAACAGATCAGCTCCTACACTATGGATCATAAAGCATTCTGTAGAGAAATTTCTTGGATTAGAAAAGCTAAAGCCTCATTCTGAAGTTTTGCACCTGTGATGATTGAGGCTGGACAGCTCCAGAATTGGATGAACATCTATTGGATCTTTTAATTAACACAAAGAGCCTGGAGAACAAACCTTTCTTATGATGGAACCAAGATTATTGCTCTAAGGGAAAGAAAATGCACTACAGTCTAGAAACTCTCATCTTTTCACATAGTCTTCAAATTAGAAGAGGCAAAAGACAAGTTAGAGAGGGTGACTCCTGAAAGTCTATGAGAAGACCTTGTCTGAGAATCTTGACAGTGTGTGGTATCAGCCCAGGTTAAGAAGATATTTTTAGGCTTTCCTGCCACAGGTAGGTGGGCTCAAATCAGCAGAGCTTATCTTGTAGAGAATCCTCTTCTGGAGAGGCCCCTCTGGCTGACTTGGGGAAGAATTCTTGGCCCCGGTGTTTTGAAAGGGATGAAAAGATTGGTGGTTTTGTGAGGACTGGAAATTGCAGCTGAGGTGAAGTGACTTGAACTCCATTAAACGTCTTGATATTGGACCCTGTAGTGAGGCGGCCTGGCTCCCGGTCGCCCCTGCGAGGGACGAGCCAGAACAGCCGCCAGAGTGGGCGGAGTCACCGCCGCTTGTCCCCGCCCCCCGGAAGTCAAGGGGCGGGACAGGAAGTATAAAGGCCCGGCCCCAGCGCTCAGTTGGCCGCCGGAGAGGACAGACGCAGGTGCCCGAGCTCCTGAGCAGGACTGGCCGAGCCTGCCCCGAGCCCGGTATCCTGAGCAGGACTGGCCGAGCCTGCCCCGAGCCCGGTATCCTGAGCAGGACTGGCCGAGCCTACCCAGAGCCCGGTATCCTGAGCAGGACTGGCCAAGCCTGCCCCGAACCCAGTATCGTGAGGACGACTGACCGAGCCGGCCCCAAGCCCGGTGTCCCGAGGAGCCGCCTGAGCTTCCCCTCGCCGAGGGTCTGGAGGAGCCGCCCAACCTACCCAGCGCTCAGTGCCCTGAGGAGCCCATGGTCTGGGACACGGTGGAGGAGACTGAGGACCTGCAGGTACCCATGGAGGAGAAGATTGGAAGTGGCCCGGGGATAAATGACCCCGAGCCCATGTCAGTGTGTTGCGGTCAGGATCCCCACTGACCCAGCAGCAGATGGACTGCTGCTGTTAGGGCCCCAGGCTGGGTGGGCCTGTGTCCCCCCTGCCACTCCACCCCAGGTGGCAGTCTCTCCTCCTCCCCTACCCTCACGCCAATGCTCAGCCCTGCCTGAGGGCCTGAGCCCCTGAACTAC